AGTTGAAAGAGGTAGTGTTTTCTTCCTCATGTATGAAAAGCCAAATTGGATTATAGTCACTAAATTTTACCTTTTTAGCACTTGTTTTTTGGTGTCCTGGAAAAACATATTGATTCATTTTATATACAATCTTTTTCTTTTGAGATGGTTATAAAGTTAAAAAGTTACAGTAAGCTACAGGAGTCTTGCTCTGTTGCCAGGCTGGAGTGCAGTAGTAGCATGATCTTGGCTCACTGCAACCTCCGCCTCCCTGGTTTAAGCGATTCTCCTGCCTCAGCCTCCTGAGTGGCTGGGACTACAAGCATGCGCCACCACGCCCAGCTAATTTTTGTATTTTTAGTACAGATGGGGTTTCACCATGTTCGCCAAGATGGTCTCCATTTCTTGACCTCATGACTTGTCTGCCTCCACCTCCCAAAGTGCTGGGATTACAGGCATGAGCCACCATGCCTCGCCTTATATAAAATCTTTTAAGTTGTTGAGTGAGTGTGGGGAATGAATTTAACTTTTGTATCTAGTAAAGAGCTTTTAAAAATAGATTATAGTTTCCCTGAAAATATGCTCCCCCCAAAAGCAAATTAGGCACATTTATAAAATTACTCTTTCTGTATTATTAACACAGAAAGTTTTCTGAGTTTCCCATCTTTAACCAACAGCCTGTTATGTGTACAAATTAAGCAATAGGTCAATACATATGACTGAAAATGAAAACAATTTGAACTTGTATGACAGGCAAAACCACACATATAAGTCAGCTGGTTTCTATTAACCTATGTGTGTTAAATGAAAGGCCCTTAGAACACCTGTTTTAAAAGTAGGATATTTAGACTATTGATTCATTTTTAGAAATTGATAGTGATACCTATTTAACTTTCATTTATTCCCAAGTATCTTGGAACTTTTTTTAATGAATCCCTGGGAATTTACCACTTACTGAAAAATGCCGAATTAGATGATCTTGAGGTTCCACATAACATAATTTGCAAATTGATACAGATGCGTGGTTCCATCTGGTTTACTTTTTCTAATATAGAGTGAGTCAGTATTGCAGAAATATTGCATTACTACTATTTGGTGACAGAGACAGCTCCCCAGGCATCCTGCTTTCCTTTTTTTTTTTTTTTTTTTTTGAGACGGAGTTTCACTGTTGTTACCCAGACTGGAGTGCAATGGCATGATCTCGGCTCACCGCAACCTCCGCCTTCTGGGTTCAAGCAATTCTCCTGCCTCAGCTTCCCAAGTAGCTGGGACTACAGGCGTGCACCACTATGCCCAGCTAATTTTTGTATTTTTAGTAGAGATGGGGTTTCACCTCATTGACCAGGATGGTCTTGATCTCTTGACCTCGTGATCCACCCGCCTTGGCCTCCCAAAGTGCTGGGATTATAGGCGTGAGTCACTGTACCCAGTCTCCTTTTTTTTTTTGAGACATAGTTTTGCTTTTCTTACCCTGGCTATGGTGCAATGGCACGATCTTGGCTCACTGTAACCTCTGGCTCCCAGGTTTAAACCATTCTCCTATCTCAGCCTTCCAAGTAGCTGGGATTATAGGCATGTGCCACCATGCCTGGCTAATTTTTATATTTTTAGTAGAGACAGAGTTACCATGTTGGCCAGGCTGGTCTCTAACTTCAGACCTCAGGTGATCTTCCCTCCTTGGCCTCCCAAAGTGCTGAGATTACAGGCGTGAGCCACCAGGCCTGGCCTGCATCCTGCTTTCCTTTAATAGGACAACCATGAACTAAATTGATGTCTGTAAATCTATGTTTACTGTCTATATGCAAATTAGTAACTCCTTTGATTAAAATAAATTAGTGTTTCTTTCAGTACTTTAATATGACTCCTAAATTTCATATTTTAGAATTTGATGAAGAAGTCTGTGTTCACCCCTCATAGTTTGAGCAATGTAGTAATTGTTCTTAGCTTCTCTTTTGCTACATTCAATAGTATGCTTTTTGTTTGTTTTCACTGTGGCAGACTTCTTCTTTCTTACATCACCGAGCATTACTGAACTTATTATGTAATCTTGGACAAGTTTCCTAACCTTTATGAACCTCAGTTTCTCTGTCTATGTAAAGGAGATAGTACCTGTCTTAAGCATTGAGAGGATTAAATAAGATAGTCTATATAGTAGCACTGTGCCTGGCTATGGCAAGTGCTCCATAAGTTTTAGCTGCCATCATCATCGTCATCGTCATCATCATCAATTCCCAGCTTCCAAACCTGTGAGTCCTGTTTCTTATCAGGGTTAGGCACAGCAGATGTTTTTTTTCTTTTTTCCAAAGGATTCCAGGTACCCATAGGCTCCAAAAAATGTTTGTAAACTAAGTAATATGACCCACATGTTTAATGACTATTTTCTAAATAAATATAGATGATATCTTGAACAAATGAAGATTCATTTAAAATTGCTAAAGAATTCATAAGTTTTTATATTTTTTTCTTAATTCAAGAACTTTTAGAGTTAAATTGACTTTTAGAGTTTAAATTGACTTGTTAATCTTAAAGAGGGATCTATAAGCTTCAAATGATTGACCCTGTATTCTTTATCATTTTATTCTTTCTTCTGTTGACTTCTCCGAGTTCTATTAGGCTTGCTTTTGATGTTTGACAACCAAAACAATATGGTAAATTTAATATACCCCACAGCTTCATCCATTTTTTAAAATTCAAATTGTAATTTTTTTTCTTTTTCTTTTTTTTTTTTTTTGAGATGGAGTTTCGCTCTTGTTACCCAGGCTGGAGTGCAATGGCGTGATCTCGGCTCACCGCAACCTCTGCCTCCTGGGTTCAGGCAATTCTCCTGCCTCAGCCTCCTGAGTAGCTGGGATTACAGGCACGCGCCACCATGCCCAGCTAATTTTTTGCATTTTTAGTAGAGACGGGGTTTCACCAAACTGACCAGGATGGTCTCGATCTCTTGACCTCGTGATCCACCCGCCTCGGCCTCCCAAAGTGCTGGGATTACAGGCTTGAGCCACCACGCCCAGCCCCCAGTTTTTTTTCTTTAAGAAAAATTTATACAGGGTCTTGCTCTGTCGTCCAGGCTGGAGTGCAGTGGCATAATCTTGGCTCACTGTAACCTCTGCCTCCTTGGCTTAAGGGATCCTCCCATCTCAACCTCCCCAGTAGCTGGGACTATAAGCGCTCACCACCAGGCCTGACTAATTTTTTTGTAGAGATGGGGTTTCGCCATGTTGCCCAAACTGGTCTAGAACTCCTGGACTCAAACAATCTGCCCTCCTTGGCCTCCCAAAGTGCTGGGATTACAAGTGTGAGCCACTGCATCTGGCCTCATCCACTGTTTTGATGATTTTTTTTTTTTTTTTTTTAATTCTCATACCAGGAACTGATGGCATTCAATTATCTGTTGACACTTGGTTAAAATCATAACATGAATTGATGCTAGGAGAATCTAGCATGGTTTTTCTCTACTTTGTATTTAGCAGTGATAATGGTGCTCTCCTTGGGTTTGTGTATGGAGAGATAGGTGTCCTCCTTGCTTCCAAAATTTTCTGAAATAGCATTTTATAAAATAGCATTTTATTTTCTGTTTTTGAGAGCAAGTCATACTGTTGCCTAGGGTGGAGTGCAGTGGCATGACCTCGGCTCACTGCAACCTCCGCCTCCCAGGTTCAAGCGATATTCCTGCCTCAGCCTCCCTGAGAGCTGGGATTACAGGCATGCACCACCATGCCTTTTTTTTTATTTTTAATAGAGATGTGGTTTCACCATGTTGGCCAGGCTCATCTCAAACTCCCAACTTCAGGTGATCCATCCACCTTGGCCTCCCAAAGTGCTGGGATTTCAGGTGTGAACCACTGTGCCTGGCCTGAAACAGCATTTGTCATACTTTTATTCAGTCTCTCTTGGTTTTAAATGACAGAAACCCAAGTGGCTTAGGAAAATGAAGAAATTATTGAAAGAATTCCAAAGCAAAAGGTTTCATGGCCAAATCATGGGAAGGGTAGATACAGCAGACCCAGGGATCCAAATATTGCCAGAACAATCTTTCAGCCTCTTCCCTGTGCTGATGGAGTTCCCTCCCAGGTCAAGGAAGAGGGCTGCCACAGAGCAAACTGAGCCATGCTCTACCTGCCTCCATGTTCAGATTTCCTAGGGTCTGAACCAGATGGGCCTTATATCAGGTGTCCACCGTTGGACCAATCAGCTATGGCCAGAAAGTTGGTCTATCAAAGTGGGCCAGCTGGATCAGGTGCTAGTTCCACATCAATTTGTAGTGTCACAACTCCCTGGGGGAGTCATATGATTAGAGTACAGACAGAATCATTCCCCAGAAGATTTGCAGCAGAACTGTAGCCATCCCCTGTAACACTATCTTTGTGATTCTTGGTTCCTTGTACATTCCAATTGACTACAATGTAAGTTCTTGGAAGAAGATATATTTTGTTCATTTGTATATCTCCTGGTCTAGGACAGTATCTGTTGTAAATGTTTGTTTAATAAATCGTGAACTGATGAATTCATATAATACATTGTGATATACAAAGGGGTTATGTAAGATTTTATTGCATCTTGTTGTGTCATGTCAAGTCATGGTAAAAAGCGAAATGCTCTAACAGCTCTGGCCTGTTCATCTAGGAGTCTCCAAATTCTGAGCTTCAGTCTCTTCCTCTGTGAAGAAAAAAGTATCTCTATTATGACATTGTCCCCATTTAGAAAGTGAATTTGCATTGGAAGTAAAATCATTGTATTACATGTACATAAAAATTACATGGGTTTCAGAGTTTGTTATGTATTCATCATTGCCTCACTTGTGAACCAGAAAATATAAAGTTTTTGACTGAAGCAGATGGAAATATTTCCTTTCAGTGTCTTTTCAGCTTGTTCAGAGGGCCACACTTGATAGATTTTTCTTCTGGTTGGAGTATATGGGCTTTAATAGTGATTCCCACAAATAAATCTACTCTACAAATGATAAGGAGATATAATCTCACTAAGCATTTCACTTTGTCCTTTTTTTTAAAACTGGTTTTTAGGTTTTTGTCAAGCAGGAAAGGATTTGCGTTTGGTATCACTGTGTATGGAACAAATTGACATCCCAGCAGGATTCCTCCTGGTGGGGGCCAAGTCTCCCAATCTGCCTGAACACATCCTAGTTTGTGCTGTTGACAAGAGATTCCTACCGGATGATAATGGGAAAAATGCACTTTTAGGTGAGTATTTCATGCCTATAAAATTCCTTCCAAGATGAGGGAGTTAATTTTAAAAAATATACTAAAGGATCATTTTGGGATTATATAGTGAAATTATAGTGAAATTGAGCAGATGATTTAGTTCAATTATGAGACATTATTTTCTTTTAGTAATTTCTTAAAATTTTTTTTTCTTTTTTGAGATGGAGTTTTGCTCTTCTCACCCAGGCTAGAGTGCAGTGGCACAATCTTGGCTTGGTGCAACCTCTGCCTCCTGGGTTCAAGTGATACTCCTGCCTCAGACTCCCGAGTAGCTGGAATTATAGGCGCCCACCACTGCACCCTGCTAATTTTTATATTTTTAGTAGAGACAGGGTTTCACCATGTTGGCCAGGCTGGTCTCAAACTTCTCACCTCAGGTGATCTGCCTGCCTTGGGCTCCCAAAGTGCTGGGATTACAGGCATGAGCCACCACGCCTGGCCTTTTCATTTTTATTCATTCTGAAAACACTTACCTTAAATAAATGACTTTTAACCTGGCATTTTTAAAAAGCATGCAATTTATCAAAAATTAATATTTTACAAAGAAAAGAGAATTTACTCTCTCTAGTCGTTGATTTGGACCTGATATCAAGTCAACTCTGAATTATGTATCTGTGGATTATTCCCTTTGTAGATTATTTGTTGTTTTTCCATACCACCCATTATTTCTAGCTATAATTACATGATGTGATTCTCGCTTTATATTTAACATTAGTTCAACCACAATAACTAGGACTATGTATCTTTATATCTCTATATGATATAAAATGTAAATGACTTTATCTCAGAATTATTTTACTTTCTATTGTTAGAGTCTGGGCTTTTTCACAACATAGCTTCCCTATATCATAGGAAATAACAGACTTGATTTATTTTATTTTAAATGATTAAAAAGATAAGAAAACACATGAGATCTGTTGCTTTTTTACTGCTGCATTTCTCTACTGTTGTTTTGGTTTCTCAGAATTTTTCTTACTATAGGTGAAATCATGTTTTAGGCACAAATACCAGTAAAAAGGAAAAAAATTGGTCAGTGAATTCAAATATTGCGTTGATGATGATGTGTATTTATTTTTGTAGTCTGATACATTCTTCCTAGTTATATAGTGTCATCAGAAAGTCTAGCAATACATTGATCAATATCTTGAGCCAGAAAGTAACCCTGCACATGCCTCATAGATGTTCCTTAAATTATAGTTTAAAGGCTTCTCATGGTTTATAGGAAAAGGAATTGTAATTTTCATTTTTCATAAGGCTCTCATTAAAAAAAACATTTTCACTTTGTTTTAGTGAAATCGAGCAGATTGTTTAATATAGAAGTCTAATGATAAATATGCTGGACTAAAATAGCAAAGAAGGTCCAATATTCATTTTTTCATTCAGCAGTATTTATTCAAAGTGACAGAAATCAGACTAGGCTCTGATGTAGGAACACAGCAATTATAAGACACAGTCCTATTCCTCACAGAGCTTACTACCGAGTAGGCTATAGTAGAACAACTTCAGAAAACTTTTTAGCATTTGAAAAGCGTTATAGTCTCATCTAATGAGACAGTTCACGTGTGGCTCTGACTGTAGACAATGAAAATCTCTCATAATGCATTTTTTGTTTAATGATTCTTTGTAACTAGAGAATCCTCTTAGAATATGTCATGGAAAAGACACAGAAAACACCATCAGAATAATAGATTTCATAATCCTTAAAAATCAGGAGTGAGACCAAAGACCATGGGCTTTGGAATCAGAACTGTGTTCAAATCCCAGATTTGCCACTTAGCACTTTAAGAACTTCAGCACTTTAAGTTCAGTATTTTAGGAACTTAAAGTCTTAGATTGTCCATGCATATAATGGGGCCATTAACACCTGCCTTGTGGAGTCATAAAGATCAAATTAGATGATGTCTTTAAAGCACCCACCCAGCACAGTGCTTGCGACATAGTATTTGCTCTTCAAATGGTAGTTATTTTACTATTGTATTTATTAAGTACCCTTACAGACTTGGAACCTTGCTTTCTCCAGCCTTGTAAGTGGACATAATTTTTCACTAACCCTCTTCCCCATGTAAAAGTGCAATGCAGCAACAAAATGTCAGGTTTTTCTTAAATAAGCACATTGTTGAGATTTTTACATGTTTAGTACTCTATTGTCCAAAAACTAATATTCATCCAATATTTCTTAAAGTGGATGATTTTTATATGCAGTAAAATATAGTGGGAAAAATGTTTAAGCTTCCACTATTCTAGAACTCCTATGGATTCCAATATCAACTTGTCTAAATTTTAATATAAATTATGCAGATTCCAAAGACTGTGGGGGAATTGATTTAAACATATATTGATCCAGTTGGTAGTGCCTGTGCCCCAAATCTACCGTGCAATTGGAAGACTTGATTGCCAGAAAAACTAGAAGGTAATTTGGTTGTGAGTGGTATTATTTTTTGTTTTCAATGACAACAAGAATGTTAAGCAGATAAAATCTCCCTTGAAGGAAGGCTAATGCTGAAATCATACAGAGTTTTTAAAATGGACTCTAGGATTCTAACTCTTTTATATTGTTAACTTATTATTAATGTGAAGATCCTCTCCTTTGCAGATTATTCAGACCCATGGCTTTTCTTCCTCTTCACACTCTTGCTTTTCACCTCAAAATAGAGGAAATGATAAACTGAACCTCAGTACTTTGTTAATTCTAATTCTCCACTAATCTTTTCGAAACCACTTGGACCTATCAGTTAAAAGCTTCATGTTTTGGCACTGTTCTTGATTATTTTGACTGAAAGATTCTTGTAGCTTTTTTCTGTGTCTTGGGTATGGCATATCTACTTCACAGGTCAGGCAATTTTCCATGAAGGTGCAATGATCAGACCAGAATGTAATTTCTACCAAGGCAGGGGCTTTTGGAAAAAACCTGGTACCTACAACAGTGTCTAGCACATAATAGAGTACAGTATTTGTTGGATGCATGGACGGATGGGTGGGTGGGTGGGGGGATAGATGGATGACTTTGGTGACTTAGGCAGCCATTGGCAACCTTTTTTGGGGTGGAGGGGCTACTACTTTAAGATATTAGTCAAATAGTCAAATGCTCTCAAATATAATCCATCTCTGAATATATTCTAAGTCATTTATACAATTGTTTACATGTCTATAAAGTGGCAGTAATAAATTATTAATTCTATGTAATTGACCAGAGATTATGAATATCTGTTTTTCACCACTGTTTCCCCAGTGTTCAGGAAAATGCCCAGCATATAGGTAGATGCTCAATAAATAGTTGTGATTGAATAATAATAAACTGGACTTCCTGTTTATAAATGCTTTGAATTGATGGTTAGCATTCTGAGATTAGGATATTGTGAGATAGGCTATCTTTAATCCTTGTGGCTTTTCTCTTCTCTGTTTATACATCTTTATTTATTTATTTATTTTAAAAATTTTTTTGAGATGGAGTCTTGCTCTGTCGCCCAGGCTAGAGTACAGTGGCACGATCTCAGCTCACTGCAACCTCCGCCTCCTGGGTTCAAGTGATTCTTCTGCCTCAGCCTCCCACGTAGCTGGGACTACAGGCACATGCCACCATGCCCAGCTAATTTTTTGTATGTATATATTTTTAGTGGAGACTGGGTTTCACCATGTTAGCCAGGATGGTCTTGATCCTCTTGAGCTTGTGATCTGCCCGCCTCAGCTTCCCAAAGTGCTGGGATTAAAAGCATGAGCCACCCCACCCAGCCTTTTATATATCTTTGTTAATTATAAATATATATCAGATTGAGGTCGGGTGCGGTGGCTCGTGCTTGTAATCCCAGCACTTTGGGAGGCTGAGGCAGGCAGATCACAAGGTCAGGAGTTTGAGACCAGCCTGGCCAAAATGGTGAAACCCCGTCTCTACTAAAAATACAAAAAAAATTAGCTGGGTGTGGTGGTGCCTGACTGTAATCCTAGCTACTCAGGAGGCTGAGGTAGGAGAATTGCTTGAACCCGGAAAGGGGAGGTTTGCAGTGAGCCAAGATCGTGCCATTGAACTCCAGCCTGGGCAACAGAGTGAGACTTCGTCTCACAACAAAACAAAACAAAACAATACACACACACACACACACACATATAAGGTTGGTTTAGGGGTCTGAAAAGAGTATATCACTTCATCGGTGAATTTGTTTTCAGTTATTTACATATAGATATATTGCCTTTATACAATATGGAATGCCCTTTCTTATTACAACTTTTTTGTCATGTTAATCTACATAATAGTAAATATGTTATATCCTCATCAGACACAACTAGAAGAACTCACTCTCTTACTGTCTGCTTTTACTCCGTGTTTTAAGGGGGACTGAAAGTTGATTTTTTTTTTTTTTCCTGAGGCAGAGTTTCACTCTTGTTGCCCAGGCTGGAGTGTAGTGGCGCGATCTCAGCTCCCTACAACCTCCACCTCTTGGTTTCAAGTGATTCTCTTGCTTCAGCCTCCTGAGTAGGTGGGATGACAGGCACGTGCCACCATGCCCAGCTAATTTTTGTATTTTTAGTAGAGATCGGGTTTCACCATGTTGGCCAGGCTGGTCTCAAGCTCCTGACCTCGTGATCTGCCCTCATCGGCCTCCCAAAGTGCTGGGGTTACAGGTGTGAGCCACTGTGCCTGGCCAGAAAAGTTGATTTTCAGTAAAGCAAGGCGCAGCTTTTCATCCTACCAGTTTTCTCTGTTTCTTCTTTTTTCCATGTCCCCTGTTCCCACCAGGTCACTAAAGTTTTTATTTCATTTGATTTGTCTGAGTGAGGAACTGTTTGGATATTAGATCTAAAGGAATAATAAGCTAGTATGAATAAAGAAGTGTTAGAAAAGGGGAAAGGGGAATCACAAGGAACTCCTGTCAGAAATTATAGCTAAATCTCACAGAAACTTGATGCTGACAAAACCCTGAATTTGCACATCTAGCCTGTGCTCTGCTGTCCTCTTCACAGATCAGCTTTCTCTTCATGGTTCTTGGTTCCCATACCTTAGCTTACATGTGGCTGACATAGACCTAATTTGGATTCCAATTCTATAAAACCTTACAAATCCAACCTCCAGTACACTGCCTGACTTTTTGTATTTATTTCAAAATTCCAAGACAGAGAGTCTGACTGTCCCAGACTGAGTCAGACGACGAGGCACAGGCTCACCAGCTGTGGTCATGGAGGTAAGTTCATGTGGTAGAGAAGGCAGAGAACCAGGGTGAAGGTGCAGGTTCTCTAAGAAGGAGTATGTGGGGAAGAAATAATAGACATTCTAGAGCCAAGCTTTTTATTATATTATGTGCTCTATTTCCTTAACCATTACTCTATTTATCTACTCTATTTCCTTATCCATTATTTTTTAGAGCAGCATTTAAATTATTTCCAGTCTTTCACTGTTATAAAATAACTGCTAAAAAAAAAAAGTGTACCTGTTTTTTTTCCCTCTAAATTATTTCCTTGAAATTGAGACATTTTTGGGGCAAAGAATGCAAATGTTTCTATGCTTTTTACTATGGAAAAGTATTGTATCAACTTACAAGGCCATTAGTAACATTGGTTTTCCTCACTTCAGGGTTTTCTGGAAATTGTATTGGTTGCGGAGAAAGAGGATTTCGATATTTCACGGAATTTTCAAACCACATTAACTTGAAGCTCACCACTCAGCCAAAGAAGCAGAAGCACTTAAAGTACTACCTAGTCAGAAGCTCCCAGGGTGTGCTTTCTAAGGGACCTCTTATCTGCTGGAAAGGTAGTCAATTTCCAGGAAGAAAACGGGAGGGAATGGAGATTTTACAATGGTGACAAGTGAACCATACAAGGTTCAGGGTTCAGGTGCAATACTGATAAATATCTGAGGTTTAGAAGGATATCCAAAAATGTAAAGCCTTCTGGTAGGTTATTTGGCTTGCCCCTTACTATTTTTAACAGATACAATTGAAGTTTAGGAAAGTGCATGTTGGCTGGGCACAGTGGCTCACGCCTGTAATCCCAGCACTTTGGGAGGCCGAGACGGGCAGATCATGAGGTCAAGAGATCGAGACCATCCTGGCCAACATGGTGAAACCCTCTCTCTACTAAAAATACAAAAATTAGCCAGGCATGGTGATGTGCACCTGTAATCCCAGCTACTTGGGAGGCTGAGGCAGGAGAATTGCTTGAACCTGGGGAGATGGAGGTTGCAGTGAGCAGAGATTGCACCACTGCACTCCAGCCTGGTGACAGTGCAAGACTTCATCTCTAAATAATTAAGTAAAGGACAAATACATGTTTCTGTATTTGTCTCTTGGGAAAGGAGTACAGCTTTCAGGGGGGAAATAATGGACTCTTTCTAGCTCTTCCATCATTTAGAGAGGACCTCAGGGTGAGAGCTCTATTTTTCTCTGTTTAATTTCTTTGGAGGTTCTCCAGCATTTTTTCTATTTTAACTAGACCTAAACATACTTAGAATAAACATTAATGTTCTCTTCATAATAACCTGGGAAAATACACTATTAAGTTGGCAAAGTGTTATTTCTTATACATTAGAAAGAACTTATTTATAAAAATGAATCCAGTTGAAACTTCACATCTTCATGTGCTTGATAGGAGTTGACAGAAGTTCTCTTCACTATGCTAAAGAAAAAAAGTATTTAATTATTATTCTATTGATAAGTTTCTTAGATGCTGAGATTTTTTTCTCCATTTGATATTTATCTTTAATGTTTCTATTTAATGTCTACACAAGATTTTGCCTGACTTTGAAAAACAGCATCATATTCCAAATTCCAACTGCAGATTTGTTTCTGAGCCCTTCACCTTAATTTCTCTTGGTTACCTTTGAAGTAGCATTATATGGTTCTTTAGGAAATGGATACATATTCCAAGACAGGTATCATCAGAACTTAAAGCTTGTGATCACTGAATCATAAGCTGGGGAATTACAGATAAGTCTTTATCCCATACTTACTCGGCAGGGAAGATACCATGATCATGAAGGTGCTTTTCCCAGGGCAAGGCTTATCCATTGCACTCCGGATGTGCTGACCCCTGCAATTTCCCCAAATGAGGGAAACTCGACTGCATAATTTGTGGTAGTGGGGGACTACATTTGCACTTTCCCCTGGTTTTTCGTAAAAAAAATAATAAAAAGGAAAAAAACGTCTTTACCCTATTAAAGGATTTTTCTCATAAAAATCATTTGAATGTCATAAATCCTAAGATAAGAATAAAAATAGGATAGATATTACCTCCCTCCCTTTTAATTTCCTTCTTTAGCTTTGTTTTGGTTGTATAACATATTTTTAACTTCTTAGTATTCAATGGCAATTCATCTTTCTATTTTTTTTTTCTTTTTGAGACAGGATCTCACTCTGTTGCCCAGGCTAGAGTACAGTGGCTCACTGCAGCCTCCCCAACCCTGGGCTCAAGTGATCCTCCCACCTCAGTCTCCCAAGTAGCTGGGACTACAGACGAACACCACCGTGCCTGGCTAAATTTTGTATTTTTTGTAGGGATAGGGTTTTGCCATGTTGCCTGGGCTGATCTCAAGCTGAAGTGATCCACCCACTTTGGCCTCTCAAAGTGGTAGCATTACAGGGATGAGCCACCATGCCTGGCCTCTTCTTCCTAATAAAGAATAACATTAGTGAAAGAAGCCTCATGTTTATAATAGTTGCTATTTTGGAACTGAAATTATATCTATGTAATTTATATATGTACACATAATAGCAATATACATGTATGTATATATTACATATTGGAAATACGCTCTTAGGCTAGAATACAATAGCTCTTCATAGAAAGCCATAGCATAGAAAGTTACAGAAAACTGCTTCCAATCTTTGTATGTATCTGATAAACTTGGAGATAGTCTAAAAAACCATCTATAATTAACTTTGTCATATATAATTATTTATATTCCTTTTTCACATGCTACTTTTTGAGACTAATAGGGTAAAATTTTGTTGGAAGTTAACAGTCCCACAGGCTGTCCTAGTATTTACTTTCTACCTGAATCAGTACAGAGCACTATTAAAATATGCCAGAGGCCCATTAATACTGGTTTGCTTAAAATGAAGCTTGGTATAGCATGATCAGTATCACTTTGAATATAGTCTCCTTTAATAAGAACTGAGAATAATACTAATTTGAGCATAAATTTTTCTCTACTGCCTACACATTTTTCTTTGCTTCTGTTTTGGACCTAAATTAAGGTTGTGAAGAGAAGGTTGTAGGCAGCCTAGACAGACCCTAGGTTACTTTTTATACATAAACCAATCCCAGGTAGGATGTTAACTGGTATTGAAAGACTTAATAGGTTTTCATAAATTACTAATGTGTTAACCTCTGTCCTACCCATTAAACTACCATGACTGTATTGGTTATGAGTATTTTTCCTCTGGGAACTAGTATGTAGGGAACAAAGGTCCAATTTTTTTTGAAACTATTTATTTGCCTTCCAAACAAAAGCACTGTGTTCATTAGTTTAAATGTTCTGTTGGAGTCAGGATTGGGGAAGGGACTCTCTAGAGAGGCGTCTGCCACTTAAGGAGCAGCAATTTAATTTAGAGATTTTATAGATTGTGTCCCCATCACCTGTTTTAACAGAATACTGATCATTTCATACAATGTGATTTTTACTCTTTTCCAGAATGTAGAAGCCGACAATCCTCTGCTTCTTGCCAAACTATTAAACCAAGCTCTTCAGTATCGTCAACTGTGACCCCAGAAAATGGGACAACTAATGGATACAAAGCAGGATTCCCTCAGACAGGTATGGGGTATTTTCTTTGGCATTTCGAGTATCACTTGTATATTTAATGAGGCTTTTTAAAAATACTGCTGGCTGGTTTGAATAGAGAGATTTCAAAGTAAAGATATTACTTGAGTTACTATTAGAATTAGAACTCAGCCTTGGATTAATCTTTGGATGACCAGGACCGAAGTCCTTATAGTCCTGACAGTTGGTAGGAAATTTAGCTGAAGCCTAGGACGTCATTCTAGGGGAGACTGACAGTAAGCAGTAAGTAGAAATGCAGACATGAGGGAAGTCTGCGTCATAGCCATCTAGTGGCAAGGTCTAGGGACACAGTCATGAAGACTGGAGTTCCAGGGTAGTGGGTAGGGCTCTAACTTACTGGGATACAAAGCAAGGTCCTAGGCTATGATTATGGATGACAACGGATAAATCCAGGATCTAGTTTCTAGTGGTACAAGAGAGGGACTTAGTTATGAGTAACTAGATAAAATCTTAGTGCCTGAAACTAGGTCACAACATCAGGGCAGGATCAGCAGAATGACTGATCTGCTACTGAGCAGATAACCTACTCGTCTGAGGCTTCTAAAAATTCCTCCAGTATAGAGCACCAGTTCAGGCCCTGAAGCCAAGATAAGATTCCAAGTGGGACCAGGCACGTGGCTCATGCCTGTAATCACAGCACTTTGGGAGGCTGAGGCAGGCGGATTGCCTGAGGTCGGGAGTTCGAGACCAGCCTGGTCAGCATGGAGAAACCCCATCTCTACTAAAAATACGAAATTAGCTGGGTGTGGTGGTGTGCGCCTATAATCCCAGCTATTTGGAGGCTGAGGCAGGAGAATTGCTTGAACCTGGGAGGCGGAGGTTGCAGTGAGCCAAGATCGCATCATTGCACTCCAGCCTGGACAACGAGAGCGACACTCTGTCTCAAAAAAAAAAAAAAAAGATTCCAGGTAGAACTTCATGGCTCCAGGGGCCCAAAGGGCTGGAGGGCTTTGCCTGAAAAGATCACTGCAGATAGTATTTGAGAAAACTACTCAAAACCAGCCTTGGTTATATCTCAGACAAGAAGGAAAGTATTTTAAAAGACTGTGAATTTTTTTCATGTCACTTGTTTTTTGTAGAGTACCTTTTACTTGTCTGATACGCAAACTTCATAGCATATCTACTTTGCCAATGTGTTTACTCAACCACAAATTGAGAATTAAGTGGTCTTCATTTGCTATATAACATACCTCTGTCAAATTGTGAAATTCTGATGAGCTGGTCACTTGTTTCTACTCAAGTTATAAGTGATTATTAGAATATGTTAGCAACAGCAGCAATGATAATAAGGCTAACTTTCTTTGGGTCATTTCTTGCTATGTGCCTGTACTCAGCTAAGTCCACCTCTTCCTGGATTGTAAAAAGTTTGGCTTTTAAATTGCCAGGGAGATTTAGATAGTGGCTCTGATTTAAGAGAATAAGCCACTTCTCTTTAGAATAAATGAAAGAACATGGTGTCACTAGGTATTCTGGAAAGAAACAAGTTAACATTTGGATCTGGGCATTGAAAAATTAGCCTTCATTATATTAATGACACACCACATGTCTCTCTTAGAATATCATTTTAGTAATTTGATTGATCCCATGGTATATGTTATTAAGCCCACAGTGTTAAAAGCTAAGATTTACTTTATTACAACAAAAATGTATCAAGTGTTTATTTTGTTTTAAGAACTTTATCAGATGCTATAAGGCAGGGTTCCAGTACTCAACTAATGTCTGCAATGATAATCCCAGCACTTTGGGAGGCCGAGGTGGGCAGATCACTTGAGGTCAGGAGTTAGACACCAGCCTGGCTAACATGGCAAAACCCTGTGTCTATCAAATACACAAAAATTAGCTGGGAGTGGTGGTATGTGCCTGTAATCCCAGCTACTTGGGAGGCTGAGGCACTAGAATCAGTTGCACCCATGAGTTGGAAGTTGCAGTGAGCCAAGATCGTGCCACTGTGCTTCCAGCCTGGGTGACAGAGTGAGAGTCCATCTCAAAAGAAAAAAAAATTAATATAAGGGATTAAAGAACAATAAAACAGGGCCAGGCTTGGTGGCTTATGCCCATAATCCCAGTACTTTGGTAGGTAGGCCTAAGCGTGTGGATCCTTTGAGCTCAGGAGTTTGAGATCAGCTTGGGAAACATAGTGAAACTCCATCTCTACTAAAAATACAAAAATTAGCCGGGTGCTGTTGCAGTGAGCCTAGATACCACCACAGCACTCTGGCCTGGGCAACAGAGCCAGACCCTGTCTTAAAAAAAAAATGGCCGGGCACTGTGGCTCATGCCTATAATCCCAGCACTTTGGGAAGCTGAGGCGAGCGGATCACAAGGTCAGGAGATCATCCTGACCACACAGTGAAACCTGTTCTCTACTAAAATATAAAAAATTAGCCTGGCATGGTGGTGCATGCCTGTAGTCTCAGCTACTCAGGAGGCTGAGGCAGGGGAATCACTTTAACCCAGGAGGCAGGGTTTGCAGTGAGCCAAGATCACACCACTGCACTCCAGCCTGGGCAACAGAGCAAGACTCCGTCTCAAAAAAGAAAGAAAAAGAACAATAAAACATGTAACCTTTCCTAAGAGGGAGAGGCAGGTATGTAAATAACCAGTGTGGTACCTGAAAATAATGACAAGATATTAAAATGTTAATAAGAAGTAATACAATTTTAATTCTACCAGGAAATATACTTTGTAAACAAATTTTGCTTTGAAAGAGGAAATCAAGATTCAGGCTTTAGCAAAGTCTCCTGCAGTTGCCATGATGAGATGAGACACAGGCCAGGAACAAGGGGAAGGCACTGACTGACTCACCGTGAACACAGTGGCCAAGTTTTATGCTCACATTCGTTTGTGTCCCTGGTGAGGATGTAAGTGGTAATTTGACTATGAAAATTAGTTATTAACAATTTCAATATTTTGAAATTGAAAGATACAACCCAGAAAATTAATAAAAGAAAGTACCTTTACAAGTGATACTTTGTATCTAAAATTTTCATGTAAATGAATTGTGTTTATAGATTCTTTAATAATTTCTTTCTTCTGACACTTGAATATAATGAGCTGTAGAAATTTCATGTTGGCATTATGATACCATTGCAAATATTAGCATATACAGCACCTCCTTAACTCATCGATTGAGATTCACTTTTCTCTAGGAGATTGTCTTCTCCCTAATCTTAATCCACAGTCAGTGACTGCCTGTAATCCACAATTTTTGACCTCAAGTGTGGGTACACGCATTGCATAGTATTTGAAGCACAGTTTAATACATTATTTGCATGCCTTTGTCTTGAGTCCTACCTGTTAAGTTCTGTATGTTCTGTTCTGGCTGGGTCACCACTTACTGTTGGCCTGTTTTCTCTTAATCTTTTATTTTATTATCTTTTTTTTGAGGCAGAGTCTCACTATGAAGCCCAGGCTAGAGTGCAATGGCATGATCTTGGCTCACTGCAACCTCCACCTCCTGGATTCAGCAATTCTCCTGCCCCAGCCTCCTGAATAGCTGGGACTACAGGCTCACCCCACCACGCCTGGCTAATTTTTGTATTTTTAGTATAGATGGGGTTTCACCATATTGGCCAGGCTGATCTTGAACTCCTGACCTCAAGTGATCTGCCTGCCTTGACTTCCCAAAGTGCTGGGATTACACAGTGAGCCACTGTGCCTGGCTTTCTCTTTACATTTTCATGTAATTGCTAATTCAAATTTTGGTCTCCAATGTCAGTGAAATATTTTTTATTTTTACTAAAGGGGGCTATATTTTTATCTACCTGCATTATAAATGTGACACACATACATACGATGTTTAATCGGGACAAGAATTCAAGAATAGATGAAAGATATATTTGTCTAACTCAGGATTTTGAAAATTTCCAAGTTTTTTACTAAAGGCTTTATTGTTTTAACTCTTGTAGTTAAGTCTATGAGCCATTTCGAGTTATTTTTTGTATAGTATGAAATGAGAGTTTAAATTCATCCTTTCATGTATGGATGTCCAATTTCAGACCATCTTCTCATTAGTGAATTGCATTTGTCAAAAATCAGCTGACTCTAAATATAAGGATTTTTTCCGGAAAAATTGCTAAAACAGACCTCTTCAAAATTCAAAATTTTGCACTTCAAAAGTCAATTGACTCTAAATATAAGGATTTGTTTTTGAAAAAAATTGATAAAATGGATCTCATCAAAATTCAAAACTTTTACACTTCAAAATTTTAAGGATAAAGAAAATGTGGTTTATATACACAATGGAATTCTATTTAGTTGTATAGTAAATAATTAAATCCTGTTATTTGCAGGAACATGGATGGAACTGAAGGTCATTATGATAAATGAAGTAAGTCAGGCACAGAATGACAAATATCACATGTTCTCACTTACTCGTGGGAGCTAAAAACAGTTGATCTCATTGAGACAGAGAGTAGAATAATGGTTACCAGAGGCTGCAAAGGATGAGGAGGTGGGGGGTGAAGAGAGGTTGGCTAGTATGTATAAACATAAAGTTAGCTAGAAAGAATAAGTTCTAGTGTCTGACAGCAGAGTAGCATGACTGTCGTTATCAATAATATACATTTTTAAATTGCTAGAAGATTTGAATGTCTCCAACATATACACAAAAATGATAAATATTTAAGGTGATAGATATCCTGCTTATCCTGATTTGATCATTACATATTGCATGCATGTATCAAAACATTATATGTTGTGTACCCCATAAATATGTACGATTATGTATCAATAAAAAGACACCATTAAGAAATGAGAAGACAAAAAAGAGTGATAAAAACATTGGCAAAACACAAATCTAATAAAGTATTAACATCCAGAATTTACAAAAGCTTAATAATAAGGTGACAAACCAACTGAAATGTGGGCAAAGGATTTGGAATAGACATTTCTTCAAAAATATATATACAAATGGCTAACAAGCACATGAAAATATGCTCAATGTCATTAGGGAAATGCAAGTCAAAACCATA